AGTACATTTTGTTATAGGGTTAATGTTATTTATACATTCTTGCTTGTAACCAATCGAAGCACAAGCAACAGATTTGAAGGTTGTTGACAATTCATCACCATCAATATTTAGGAAAATGATTCTGTTATCGTGGTTTACACCAAGGTAACACGTGCTAATCTGATATTTAGGAAAACCACTCAATGTATGGAAAAATGTAAGAAATAGACTCACGAATCTCTCATGATAATGATTGAAAATTCTAAAAACTCTCGAGATATTAATTTATGATTATAATTCACTTTTAAATAATGAATAGTAATTTTAATTAAACAATTAATAACAAATCGACATAATGATATAAAGTTAAATAAAAAAAAAAATCATAATTAGACTTCTCCAATTATGATAAAAAACCATTGGTCAAAGTCATAAAAAAACCAGGAAGATAAAAAAGAATTACACATGAAGACGCTGAATTGAATTGAACTCGATGTGCTTCTTCCACCACCATCTTTACCTTGGAATTGCTTTGCTTAGGGCTGCAAACAAACTGAGCCGAGCCGAGCCGAGTTTTGTTGAGCTTGAGTTCGGCTCGTTTACTTATCAATCTCGTTTATTGAGCTCGAGTTTGGTTCGATAAGGAACTGTTGTGACACTTGTTCATTGAAATGTCACTAGAGCCTTTTATATTTGTCGTTTTGTGGCATTTTTCAAAAACGTGCCACTAAATATAATTTCTAAAAATATGCCACTAGTGTAGTGCCACTAAAGTATGTTTTTGTTGTAGTTTTACAACACTTATTCATTGAAATGTCACTAGAGCCTTTTATGTTTGTCGTTTTGTGGCATTTTTCAAAAACATGCCACTAAATACCATTTTTGTGGCATTTTCTAATATGCCACTAATGTAGTGCCACTAAAGTATGTTTTTGTTGTAGTGACTTCACGTCCATATTCCCCATAATCTACCGATGAACATCTCTATCTTTTTGTGAATAAAAGAACAAAACCAAACCTTGATGTTTGTCAATATGTAATTTGTTGATCAATCGATCACCTTCTATAAATTAAGGATACTCATATATAAATATCCTCAAATATAGAACACTTTTTTTTAAGAATTTGGACAGGTTCCACCCTAAAAATAACAAACAATGCACTTTATACTAAATAGAGTCGCGGAGACTGCTCGAGTGCTCACTTTATCGCTCGAGCGGTGTAACTAAAGGTAGTGCTCGCATATAGGCCAACTGCTTGAGCACAATATCTACCGCTCGAGTGGTAAAATATGTTTCCTAAAAGTTCAGAATGTAGGCAGAGATACTGGATGAACCACTTCACCGCTTGAGTGATTAATTAACTTTGACTTCTTTCTTTGTTGTACGCAGTTAGCGAAGTAGCAAACAAAGAATGCTCAATTCAAGATACGAAATGTCAGCACAAACTCTTTTATTTATGCACACCTCGGATTGTATTCGTATCTAAACTCTCATAATTCATAGATACAATAAAACGAAAAAAAAAATACAAATGAATAGAATTTTGTCTAACGAAATTGTCAATTACAAAAGCCTAACAATAATTATATTTATAAATTGTAATACATTTTCTACTTTTGTTTTTTAATGAACCAAATGTGAAAATAGATATTATGACTTTTGATAAACCAAACATAACATAAAAAATTTATTTTTAGTTAATTTTTAATTTTTTGGTTGCCTTTTTTAAAGTCCTTCCATTAAGTTTGCCAGTAATTGTAAGAAATGATTACGAATCACATATTTTTTTTTAGATTGGACAAAAAATCATGATTGCAAAATTGATAAAAGTTCAGATAAATCTGATATAACAGTAACACAATTTAATTTACAACAATGATTTAGATCACTAAAAAATACACCACTAATAGCACTAATACATTGGGAATGGTAAAAAAAAGAAACAAGGCATAGAAAGTGGGCGGGCCCACAGCCACATCATTAGTGGTTCTTCTAGTGCTCCATTACTAGTGCTCCCAAGCATTTTTCTTTAATTTATCGTAAATTATGTTAACGATGATAGTTGGTTATATTTCTCTTTCATCCCGATGCCAATTAAAAAAATAGAAATTTTAACAAGTGATTCAAGAAATTTTCAGCCACTGACTATTTGTTAAATTTCAACCGTGCTTCGACAGATTTTGCAATTAACAAAGGGACGCTTCAGACTTGTGAATATGAAGTTGCAGTTGCTAGACCAAAAATATACCTGGGCAAAATAGAGAGAAAAAAAAAAAATAGTAAATGAACTTTGGGGGACCTTAGCTTCGAAATATCTTTTGTCAGGACTCCTTTACGATATACGGTGGCGAAATATAACGATATGGGAATATGGAAATAGTGACGCATAAAAATTTATAAAAGTAGAATACAGATGGGGTGGAGATTTGTTTGTAAAAGAAATTATTTTTTTTTATTATAATTTTAATAATATAATATGTATGAAAATAAAATCAAATACAAATTAATAAATAAATAGAGAGATTCCTGTTAAGTTAAAAGTCTTCAAACATTTATAAAATATTCAAAACTAAAAACAAAAGCAAAAATAAAAACAAAAGCAAAAACAAATTAAACATTATTCTCACATCCCAACGCTAAAAAAAAAGGAGAGTAGAGAGAAGAAACGTAAGAGAGCGAGAGAGAAGTGAGAGAGACAATAATGATACAATAATTTGACAAATTCTATTATTTCAACTCTCACTATATTTCTCTTATCAAAGAACTAAACAAATATCAGAAGTAATATGTGATTTCGAGTATTTGATATTTCAAAATTAAGTATCCGAGATTCCAAAATTAATAAAAAATTAATTAAGAAAAATCCAACACTTTTAAGAAATATTCGATACGTATCCGTAAGTATCTAAGAAGTATCGGTATTCGATAAGTATTCGATACAGATACGTCTCCATTTTTAAAGTATCCTTACTTCATAGGTTACCACACACTTTTATTGGAGGATGTATTGTTAATTTTCCCTTCTTTTTTTTTTTTGATCTAGACTTCATCTTTATTGATTTTATTGAAATTCACATTTGTAGTGATATACGATTGGATTTATTTAAGAAATCTTTCAATTTATACACAAAATTTTTCAATTTATAATCATGTCACTATATTTGTGTGATTGAATTTAATTATGAAATATTTTAATTTTTTTAAACATATAACTCGATGTTTGAGTTTGAGATTTATAATTATTTTTTAAACCAAGTTTGAGCAAATTTAGAGCCCCAACGTTTGGGCCGGGTCGGGTCAACCTTGGACAGACACAAAGTCCCTTACTATGTAGTGTCGGCTCAACCAGAACCCCGTCCGACCCAACGAATGTCTACCCCTAATTGAAAAATAGTTGGTCCGAACACCCGCTTATTTAAAAAAAAAAAAAACATATAGTTGCTCAAATGCAATTTGTGTTTGATTTATTAAAATATCGTTTAGCCGCTCGATTTATTAAGACATCGTTTGAAATTGACTTAGTATGCAAATAAATTAAAAGTAAATTATAAATACACTTTTTTAGATTTGTTTAAAATATGGATTGTCTCATATAATTGTGAAAATTACAAATATCCTATTTTCACTTTAACAAAGATAATAAAAAAAATAAAATTCCTAATAACCCTCATTTGCAACAATAAAATTACTAAAACTGTTAATTGAAATTTATTTATGACATTATTAAAAACTGTTAATCGACTTGATGATTGATTAATGAAATGTGTTATTTGTTATGCGATTAGAAATTTTAAAGGTTAGAGTGTAATTTCAAAAATCAAAAGAGACAATTAATGTTTTAAACAAATCTTAATAATGTATTTACAATTTACCCATAAATTAAACATAATTATATTTTGAACTCTTTAATTTTTAAAACTTAGTGGGTGTTTGAGAAGTGGATTTTTTGTAGGTTCTTTTAATTGTAGAATATTATTGGAAATTTTTTTTTTTTGTGTTTGGAAAAATAGTTGAGTTTTTCTGTGGTTGGATGTAATGTTTGTGAGAGAAAAAGTAAAATGATTATATGATTTAATGTGATATTTTGTTTAGATTTATTTTTTTTTATTTTGTAACTAATTTGTCTTTTAATGAAAAAAAAAAAAACAAAAAAACAAAAAATCTCATTCCCAAACAGCGCCTAAAAACTGAAAAGTTATATCAGCAGATATGAGTGACCGGTAGTCACCGGTTTGATAGGTGGGGTTTACCTGTAATTCCATGGTGTCACATCCAATTATTTTGAATCATCCTATATATATCTGTATTTATAATTTACTCATAAATTAAACATAATTATATTTTGAACTCTTTAATCTTTAAAACTTAGTGGGTGTTTGGGAAGTGGATTTTTTTGTAGGTTCTTTTAACTGTAGAATATTATTGGAGAAATTTTTTTTTGTGTTTGGAAAGGTAGTTGAGTTTTTTTGTGATTGGATGTAATGTTTATGAGAGAAAAAGTGAAATGATTATGGGATTTAATGTGATATTTTGTTTAGATTTTTTTTTTTTTTTTTTATAAAACATTTGTCTTGTAGTAAAAAAAAAAAACAAAAAAAAAATCCAAAAACCCAATTCCCAAACATTTGTCTTGTAGAATATATTCTCTAAATCAAGCCACTCAAACTTAGTTTTGTTATCAATTCAATTAAAAAACTTCATTTAAACATATCTTAAAACATTACAAAATTTTAAATCAAACTTAAACAACTATTACTCCACTCTGATTATACACACAAAACAGAGTAAAAGACAATTTGGTATAGCTTTTAGGAAGCAATTATAACTTATTTTATTTTGATAGCCTGTTTTAGATTATTTGGTTATAATTTATTAAACAAAAATAACTTAAATAAATTATAAAAAATGATTATTTTAAAGCTAAGAAAAAAATACTTTTAGCTTTTACTTTGTTATTATCAACTTTAAACTTAAAAACAGGTATACCAAACAAGGGTAATGTATAAGATCATAAAGAAGTATTAACATGAAGAGCAAATTCTATATATTAGTCAATATTTTATTATATCATATAAAATAAAGACTTTGTAATCCGTAAGCATCACAAACATGAATTGCTTATACAAACATTATAAACTTATATTCATATATAGAATGAATATTAAATCAATGATATTTCCATGGAAGACAGCGGAGCTTAGAGCAACTCCCTTCCCATGAGCTCCTGCACTGATCACCTTCCTCACCATCACAACAGTCACACACAACTCCAAGATTATTTGCAAACTCCTTTGAATACCCTAATAACAAAATTAATTTCACACAAATCAATCAATCAATTTATGTATTTAGAGAGAGAGAGAGAGAGAGAGAGAGAGAGAGATTTACTTTGTAGGTGTTGGAGTGATATAGCTCTTGCTTCAACAGTTGTGTATTGGGATATGGCAAGGATCATAAAGAGCAAGATAAGGAGCTCAAAGCGCTTTGGCACATCCATTTTTTTAGCACTAGAAAGTAGAGATAGAATGTGAAGGGTGGATAGGAGAAGAAGCACTGGAAGGGGTTAATAATAAATTATTTCTCTTACTTTTAAATACATTAATAATGGTTGTCTGCTCCTATTGGACTGGTGTCTGTCTTCCAGAAGGACAGAGGTACATCGGGGACCACATCCTCTTCCATTTGAGTAATTTGGACCGTTTAAATTGATGTTTAAAATTCAAATTAAACTATAAATATAATTTTAAATTAAATTGTTCATTTTTTAAAAATAAAGTTGATAATATTATGTAGTTGTCATTATTAAATTAATCAGTTATTTTATTTTATTTTTTATTATAGGATAATCTATCTATTAAGATCTAACCAATGAACAAAATAAATTAACAAAACAGAACCTGTGAAGGCGTATAAATAAGAACGGACAATCCAATCTAATAGAAAGGAGTTGGTCTCTCTATACATTAATCGTATCTAATAGAAAGGAGTTGGTCTCTCTATACATTAATCGTACAGTATCATGCAACAAATTTCTGTTATATTGTGTTTGGTTGAGAGATTTGGGGAGGGATTTGGAAAGAGAAAGGAAAAAGATGTGTGAAACTATGTGAAATATAGGTGTATATTTTTTTCACATTTCACCTACCTTTTTCATTTCCCTTTCCAAATCTCTCCTCAAATACCTTAACCAAACACAGCATTAGTGTTTCAAACCGGCGATGATATTGATCCAAGTTGAGTACACCTGGAGCAAGTTCAAGTGAAATTATTGTTGAATAATTTTCACTATAATTAATTAATTCTGTTTGTATACTTAACAATAAATAGAATATAAAAGAAATAAAGAAAATGAGAGAAAATTATTTGATTATAAAAATCAAACTAGAAATAAAATTACATAAATAAAAAACAGATTTTATTTTGTTATAGAAACAAAAATTAAAATTTGATTTAAATAAACAAATAAAACATAATAATAAATTAAACAACTTACTTGATTAATTTCTTCGAATAATAATCTGATCAAGTCCAGTGTTTGACACTGTGTCCTTAAGACAAATTCGTCCTCTACTCGGTGCTTTCAGAATATGGACGCCTATCTCCCAGAATGAAATGATCAACAACAAATAAATGCAGCACTACAATTTATTTGTTCAACGAACATACTTAGGCCAAGTTTGGGAAGACTAAAAAAGTGCACTTTTTGTCTTTTTGGACTAAAAAATTGAGGTTGAAAATATGGATGTTTGGGTTAACTTTTTGACTTTTTATTGAAAAATGTGTAATAAAAAATTGTAAAAATTGATTTGTAGAGAAAAATTTAAATTGGGAGTTGTGCAGCCGTAATTGTTGACTTTTGGTGAATAGTGTTAACTTTTTAGCTTTTTGAGTAACTTTTTGGCTTTTTGGCTTTTTTGAATCTTCCCAAACTTGCCCTTAGTATTGTATATACTCTTTCTCACAGAAAAATAATGGAATAAATACAGAAAAATGCAGAGATGAATTACAGCAAAAGAGGGACGAAAATTGGAGTAAATCTGTTCAAATGAAGGCTGGTCTATTTATAGAAGTAATGGCACCCTTTAATTTTGAATTGAACAAGTAGCATACCCGTTTGAACAGGTACTGTACCTGTTGGGTTTGAATTTGAACAAATAGCCAAATCTGTTTGAATTTCAAATCTATTCGGGTGAATTTAACTGAACCGAACAGATTCGATTTTGGACAGATCTGAACCTGTACAGAACTTCTGAAGAAGTGCAAATAAAATTTTAAATTCAAAAATTGAAAATTAAATTTGGACAAAATTTATTCTATCATGAATAAAATGAATTCAAATATTTTTGACCCAAAAAGATTAGTATTGGGTCGGACAAGCCCAACCCAACCTCACACCACGCACCCGCGCCCAAGCCCAGGCCCAGCCTAGCCCGTCCTACCGGACAGAGGGTGGCAGCGGCGCGCGCGCGTGTGGTGATTTTTGAGTCCAATGGGTCTAGCCTATTTTGCCCATAACCTCTCTCTTCTACAAACTTGGGGTGCCCCTTGGGGCCCTCCCCAAGTTATTAGTCCAAGTTATATAAACCTATTCAAAACTTCCCACCAAATCAATGTGGGACAAGCCATTTACACAAACATTTAGGAATTTCCACCAAAATTCCATTCCATGGAGCACACTTTGGCTTCAATTTCCCACTCACTCGATAATGGTTTTAAGCAACCAAATATACCACGTGAATCACAATGCGGCATAGAATGCATTACCACTTAGACCCACCAATTTTGGCCCACGGGTCTCACCTAAATAATTGACCAAAGATAGGAAAAAAATTCTGGTTTTACCCAGAATTTCAAACCATTTCTTGCAATCCCCCCATGAATGGCATTTGATGACAACGAAAATGCAACAATATGCATAATTTGTCGAAAGAGTATAAATCGAAAATATCTTGCATCAGGATAGGTAGCTTTCGGCCTTGAACCTTCACTAGTGATAACTTATCGGACTTACTAGCTAACCAATAGATGTGATGTCTTGAATTGTTCAGCCGTTTGTGTAAGTCAAGACAATAGATTTCACACAAAATGTCTTCTCACACATCGTGGTTCTCACTGTTGTATTCATTTTAGCCTTGAACGCTCTTGGTTTTCATGAGTGTTTCTAAAGAATTTAGCCTCTTCATTCTCATAGAACCGGCCCTAGTTCGACACTTATATAGGTGATTCTTATTGTGCGTATCTTTTTATACTTGTTTTATTTTCATGCCTAAATCAAGATATAAGTAATCATTAAACGCTAAGCTTATCCTTATACCCCTACAGACAACATATGTTGCAGATATCACTCTTACCATAGGAATGGGTAGGGAATTTTAATCCATTGGTGATTTCTACCGAGCCACACATAACTTAGTTGTCCCTTTGAACTTAGTTCTTGGGATTTCCAGTTATATAAGTAGGGTTAGCATTATGATGACTCCTATGTAATAGGCTTTAATCCCATCCCCTTCGATGAACTATACACTAACTCTTTTGTCAAACCTTTTGTTAACGGATCTGCAATATTCTCTTTAGATTTTATATAATCTATTGAGATTATTCCATTTGACAACAATTGCCTTACGGTATTATGTCGACGGCGAATATGTCGTGACTTACTGTTATACATATGATTCTGTGCCCTGCCTATTGCAGATTGACTATTACAATGAATGCAAATAGCTGGCACAGGTTTTGGCCACATTGGAATGTCTTCTAAGAAGTGACGAAGCCATTCTACTTCTTCTCATGCTTTATCTAAAGCAATGAACTCAGATTCGATTATGGATCGTGCGATGCATGTTTGTTTTTTGGACTTCCAAGAAACAGCAGCGCCTCCCAGAGTAAAGACATATCCACTAGTGGATTTTGAATCTTTAGTATCCGATTTTCAATTGGCATCACAATAACCTTCGAGTACTGTTGGATATCGAGTAAAGTTCAAACCCTGATCACGGGTAAATCTTAGATATCTAAGAACTCGAATGATCGTTTTCTAATGGTCTTCTCCGAGATTACATACTCAATTTATTGATTGCATAAGCTATGTCAGGACGAGTACAATTCATTAGGTACATTAGGCTTCCAATGATTTGGGAGTATTTTAACTGAGACACTGCATCACCTTTATTTTTCGATAAATAAAGACTGATGTCTACAGGTGTTCTAGCTACATTCAAATCATCCTTGATAAAGTTATCAAAAATTTTCTCAATATAATGAGATTGGGATAATGCATATCCGTCAGATATTTTAGTAATTTTCATTCCTAATATAACATCCGCGACCCCCACATCTTTCATATCAAATCTTTTGTTAAGCATTTGCTTAGTTGATTTGATGATGTTTTGACTGCTTCCAATGATAAGCATGTCATCCACATAAAGACAAACTATGATATATCCTTGGTCAGTGTTTTTAACATAGACGCACTTGTCACATTCGTTTATCTTAAACCCATTAGTAAACATAGTATGATCAAATTTTCCATGCCATTGCTTAGGCGCTTGTTTTAATCCATAAAGAGATTTTACAAGCCGACAAACTCTCTTTTCTTGCCCTAGCACTACAAACCCTTCGGGTTGCACCATATAGATCTCTTCATTTAGATCACCATTTAAGAAAGCTGTCTTAACATCCATTTGATGTATCTCTAATTTAAACAACGCTGCTATAGCAATAAGCATGCGAATGGATGTTATTCTTGTCACAGGAGAATATGTGTCAAAATAAACCAGACCTTTCTTTTGTCTGTAACCTTTAACTACAAGTCTTGCTTTATACTTGTCTATTGAACCATCTGCTTTTATTTTTCTCTTGAATATCCACTTATACCCAAGAGGTTTAGAATCAGGTGGGAGATCCACCAATTCCCAAGTATGATTTTGCATAATAGATTCAATTTCATTATTAACAATTTCTTTCCACAAAGGTGCTCCAGGACCTGTCATTGCTTCCTTAAAGCTTTAAGGTTCATTTTCTAACAGGTATATCAGAAAATCTGGACCAAAGGATTTTGATGTTCTCGCTCTCTTACTTCGTCTTGGTTCATCATTAGTTAAATCATGTTGGTCAAGACCATTACTAGTCCTTTGTGTTTGATTGTCATTAGTCTCTTGACTTTGTGTACAATCATAAGTTCTTTTTTGTGAACTTAGCTCCTGTTCTTTCTTGTAAAGAAAGACATGTTCAAAAAACACAGCATTCCTTGATTCTATAATAGTGTTTACATTTATATCAGGTATTTATGATTTATAAGTCAAAAACCGACATGCACTACTATTCTGAGCATAACCAATAAACACACAATCTATTGTTTTTGGTCCAATCTTAGTCTTTTTAGGAACAGGAATTTCAACTTTTGCCAAACACCCCCACACTTTTAAGTATTTGTAGGAAGGCGATCGACCTTTCCACAATTCATAAGGAGTGTTGTTGATTTTCTTGTGGGGTATTCTGTTAAGAAGATAATTAGCAGACAATATTGCTTACCCCCATAAGTTCTGTGGTAAGCCTGAACTTAGTAACATGGCATTCATCATTTC